AAAAATTAAAAATTAGAAAATTTTAATAATTAATAATCATTAAAAAGGAAATTTATTAAAATTAACTAATTAAATATCTTGTCAATGACGGGTTGAATAAAATAAGTAAAATTTTACAATAACCATTCATAATTCTTGATGAAATAACTATTACATCATCACAGACAATACCTTGGCCGTTTTCTACTTCTTCGTAATTTTCTAAAACACTATAACTTTCTTTATAAAAAGAAAAAGGAATATAACGATTTGTATATAAAGAAAAAATGCTATTCATACAATAAAATAAATATCTATTGTATCTTTTACTTTCTATTAAAAGATAATTTGATAATTTTATATTTAGTTGTTGAATTTCTTTTTTTAACGAATTATTATTATCAAGATATTTAAAAATACAAGAGTCAATTGTAAAACTAGTCAAACTGTTGTTATAAGAATTATTATACTTTTCGATTAAAATGATTATTTCTACAGCTTTTCTAGAAAATTCTTTCCAATAATTTTTAAATTTTTATTATCTTCAATACTCGTTTCTTTTCTAATGTTCATTCTTAAAATACAATTTAAAACTTCCTCATATAAAGATTCTTTAAAAACAGGAGAGTATATTCCATCAAATTTAGATGAATTTAGCACACTTTTATTTTTAAAAACCTCTTAGTTTAACATTCTCTTTTTAACTTTAATTATTGGACCAATAAGAAATCTTAACTTTTCATAGGAACTAATTACGTCTTTATAAAATTCATACATTGACAAAAAATCCATATAAATTTCTAAAAGAGATTCATAATTAGAAAAACTAATATCACATTGATTTTCCTTTAACGAGACTAAAAATTCATCAATACAATACCTGGGTAAATATAATAAAGACAGTAGATTATCTTTAACTTTATCACCACCTTTAATTTTTTTAACTATCAATTTGCCAAATTTTTTAAACATATCGCCATATGTAGTACGAATATACTTTTTAAAATCTTTAATATAATTTTCTTTATCTAAATTTTCTTCACTATTGATTTGTTTTTTCTTAAAATTAATATTTAATTGTTTTACTATTGAATTAATTTCATCTATATATACATAACTGTATTTAGATTCAAGCAATCTTATAATCAAAGGTGCATTCTTTTTCAAGAAATTCTTTGATTTTACATATTCTTCAATCATTTGTTTAATTTTATCATCTTCTTCTAAAATTTTATATGAATTATCACTTACTAAGGTACAGCAAAGGCAAAAATTCA